GGCCGGATCCACCCGCGGGCCGTAGTTTGCCCACGGCTGCTCTAGGGGCACAAGCTTTCAAGGTGATTGGGGTCTCAGAGGAGATAAAATACTGTCAAACTGCTCTGACAATTTTCACCTGGATCACTCCTCTATGGCATACTTTGTAAAATTTCTCTGGTAGCTTCCCTCTATCCAGAATAAGAAGTGGAAGTGCTTGGTTTATAAGGTGGAAAGTAGTTTGCTTCTCCCGAATGTAAAAGAGCATATACTTAATTGTCTGCAAGACCCAGAAGTAAGAAAAGTTGAATAATAGGCTAGTAAATGCACCATGTTTGACCATTTCTGAAGCTGAGCATTTTGGGCAGAACTAAATTATGGATATGGAGCAGAGGGAACTAATTATTTATGGAGCACTTCATATTAGCTTGTTCCACATCTGAAGATGTTGTGTTTGAACACAAGCCAGTTATTGCTTAAGACTTGCCAGGGAAGTTATTTGTAATCAGTGTAAGTCAACCTGCCAGGTGACTGGTGCTTCAAGGACAAAGGGCTGAATTTGTGAGGTCAGCTCTGAAAAAGACACAACTGCTCTTTGCAGGGTAGTCCCAGCATGAGCCCTGCTAGCTTGTCAAGTTTGGGTCTCCAGACTGTTCTGGGCAGCCTGTGATTGAAGATGGTAGAACAGATGTATAAAATGTAAAGACAAACTCAAACGAAAGTCACAAACTCACTCAATGGCCAGTGACCTGCAAACCTTTCTACTAGTTTTGAGAAGAGAAGCTGTGCAAAAACTTTCCAATGTAGTTGCTGTGCAAGAGCTTTCCAATGTGGTTGCTTGCTTGTCACAAGCTGGTCTAGTTCCTCCCTTCTCACTAAATGAGGGAACCCTGGGAGTCACAAAAGAAGTGGCCCTGGAGAGTGATGTGTAGAATACTCGTGCCAACATGAAAACAGATTAATCCTTAATAAGGAAAGGAGACAGGCAGCAAACAAGTTAGTTCCTATACAAACTAAGAAAACCCTACCATTGGCATATTGGAGCTTTGGTTTCCTGAAAGCGTCCTAAATATGTGCATCTCTGTCATCGCTAAAGGAACAACTGAGGTTAACAGTCTTTAGGATGAATAAAATATTCTGATTTTTTCATGACAACTTCGGAGAAATACACATGCAAATCAAAGGCATTGTGATGGAGTGGAAATAGCTGGATTTAAAATTAGACTAAATATGGGTTTACACCTGGCTTAGTCATGCAGTAGCTCTGGAACCCTGAGCAGGTTAATATCTGTGCCTCAGTTTCTTCATCCTCAAAGATGGTGCTATCACCTATCTTATATTGTGATAAGGGCCAGCACAGTCAGTATAGAGTGGTGGTCAGAGTACCTACTCAGGAGTCAACAGGCTCATGTCCCAGCTGTCGCTTTGCTACTTACTAGCTTTTTCGTAGGTAAGCTATTTACCTCTCCTAAGTCTTGGTTTTCTCACTTGTGAACTGGAGGTACTAATAGGCCTTATTTTATAGGATTATAATATACAATACATACAGGGTGCTTAACATGGTGTATTGCAAAAATTCTAATTCCCACTCCCCCTAAAATTTTAAATTAAAGGAATGTTGGAGATAGGCAAATTAGCACCGAGAAAAGCAAACAGAGAAAGAAACTGATGCATTTCCAAGTATTTACATAGAGTTCTTACTACCCATAGCAAAGAGTAAGCACCCAAAATTTACCTGATCGGCCACTCGATACACCTCTTCCTTTCTACCGCAGTCACAGGTATAGGCATAGGCTCGAGTGGCTCCGGCGTCCCGAGCCATGTTGCACGTCTCCTCATTCCCCTCCTTGTTGATATCCCAGAGAACAAGCACAGCTCCAAGGCGGGCAAATTTAAGGGCTAAGAGCCTTCCGAGTCCACTCCCAGCACCTGTTATGAGTACGATTTCACCAGCAACGTTCTTCCGTGGCTTTGGGATTAAGGTAAAAATCATAGTCTCCAGAAGACTAAATACTGATTTTCCTAAGAAAACGAATACTTTCTTTGCTGACTTCACGTTGGGAGCCATATTCTGACTGACACCTATGAAGACAGACAGACAGACTCATATAAAGACCTAGGCGTCTACTCCCTCTGTGTTTGCTTGCTACATGGAGCTCATACTTCCTGAAATAGTGAAAGAAATTGAGAAGCGTGATTTAAACATCTCTCCTGGTAGCAGGCTCTGAACTTAGAAAAAGGAGGGGGCCCATCGGGACCGGATATTGGCTCAGCACACATCTGCATGCCCACTCAGCTTTGTTCATGAACAAATGTTCATTAACCAGGAACTGTAACTACACCCAAATTTAACCCAAAGAAGACGTTCATTATTTCTCATAGTGAACTTTTTCTCCTAATAATCATGAGTCCTGTGGGCTGATTTATGTTCAAAGTCTTGACCATATCAAGCTTATGACATAACTGCTACATCTTTGCTTTTATTGCTGTCTCCTTTTAGGTTCGTGTTTTCTCATTTGCATTGTTGTTCTTAAATTATGTGTCACTATTTAAAATATGAGATTCAAGAGAAAAATGTAAAACCCTATTTGCATAATGTATTTTAAGAAGACTAATTAGACCTTCTAAACCAGTTGTTCTCAACCTTCTGGCCCTTGAAATACAGTTCCTCATGTTGTGACCCAACCATAAAATTATTTTTGTTGCTACTTCATAACTGTAATGTTGCTACTGTTATGAATCGTAATGTAAATATCTGATATGCAGGATGGTCTTAGGTGACCCCTGTGAAAGGGTCGTTCGACCGCCAAAGGGGTTGCAACTCACAGGTTGAGAACCGCTGTTCTAAACCTTTTCTGATGAATTCACCATCAGCTCTGGGCCCCTGCGCCCTATCATTTACCACTCAGACCTAATGGTTGTAGGACATCAGTGAGAGACAGGTCTGGATTCCAGTCCTGTCCTACCCTTGCCTGGCTGTGAAACCTGGGGCAGACTCCATAGCCTCTCTGGTCGAGGTCTCCTCATCTCTACTTACTGGTCTGTGGCATAGAGTAGTTTTGCAGATGAAAAAAAAATGTATGTCACATGCTTGACCCATGCTGGCTCACAGTGCTTTACAAATGTTACCATGTTTTTCAGATTCATGGTGCTGCTCACCAACAAGGTGAAAGAATAACAAATCTCCTCCCGACAAGCGCATACTGGGCTCCACACTTACATCGTGTTATCAGTTACTCGCACTTCAGTGGAATGAATTTATAACATGCTTTAATAACAACCCACTGAAAAAAAGAGAAAGGTCTGATTTCCTCCAGGATGAGAAGATGTGTTTAGCAGGGGGCATGCTATGGTGGGGGTGGGAGGTTTCCCTGAGTGGGGAGCTGTAGAGAATAGGCAAAGGAGGGCAGACAATGTCCATTAAAGAACAGCAGGTTCTCACTTTGCAGTTTGGTTGAGGATAAACTAATTATTATTAATGACTATGAGTGGATAGAGTCATTTATAGGAGGGCTTGGAGAGTGGTTGCACCCTTCAGAAATTATTGTGACCAAAACTGTAGTTTCTTGTGACTGAGGATCAGAAATAACATGTATGCGGTTTATCCAAGGTCCCTGTGCTAGCTAATGGCAGGGCCAGATGTTCATTTATTATGTTTGTTGAGCATTGATGCTGGGCACTGGGGCTGAGGGGATGGGCAGCCTCCCATATTCTCTGGCCTGGTGAGCTAACAATCTAGTTGAAGAGATAGACATTAAATGAATAAATACATCATCACAATCCATCTATCTCTCTATATAAAAGCCTAAGTGACCAAATGACCATTTGACCAGTCACTGTGATACGCACTGACTACCAGGGGGCAGAAGCTCAACGCAGTGAGAGCACCGCTCAGCTGACTGACAGGTGCCAGATGCTGGGCTCACAGCTGGCTCCTCCTGGGCCGCCTACTGCTTGGTGTACTCCTACATCCCTCAGGGGATGTTGGGCTGCCAGTTTCGGCCCTATCCCTGGGGATTGGGGGAAACCAGCAGTCCAATCCGGCAGTCCGACATCTCCCGAGGGGTCCCGGATCGCTAGAGGGCACAGGCCAGGCTGAGGGACCCCACCGGTGTATGAATTTGTGCACTGGGCCTCTGGTAGATTTATAAAGAAAAGTGCAGGGAGCTATAGAGAATAGAAATTAAATTGTGGTCAAGGTCGGAAGCAGCAGGAGGGATTTGCCGGGAATGGACATTTGAGTGGATATCCATATGATGAATGGTGAGAGGTAGACAGATCTGGGAGTAGCTCACCCAGTAGAGGGACAGAAGAGTTTAAGCCTTAAGGTAGGTTTTACCTGTGTGACCAGGGAATAAGAATGCTGGCAGTGAGGGGCATGGATATTCTGGTTAAACAAAGAGTGGTTATTTCTGTGACACTCCGGGTTTCACCATCCTTGGAATGAAATGGCCTTCACACTCTCTGGCATCGTTGTTCAAATTTATTTTCACAGAATAGCTTGGATAATTGCTTGGGCATCCCAGGCCCTGCAGGACTTGGAAAGAAGGTACCTGATGGGTGAACAGCGGTATTCAGACTCTTATATTAAACTAGAGGCCCAGTGCACAAAATATGTGCACTCAGGGGGTTCCCTCAGCCAGGCCTGCACCCTCTCGCAGTCCGGGAGTCCCTGAGGACAGTCGGACATCCGTAGCGCTGCTGCAGAGACAGGAGAGGCTCCCGCCATACTGCTGTGCTTGCCAGCCATGAGCCCAGCTTCTGGCGCACTAACCACCAGGGAGCAGATCCTGCATTGAGCATCTGCCCCCTGGTGGTCAGTGCACGTCATAGCGACCAGTTGTTCCACTGATCTGCATAATAGCCTTTAATTATATAGGACTAGAGGCTGGGTGCATGAAATTTGTGCATGGGGCGGGGAGGGTCCCCTCAGCCCAGCCTGCACCCTCTCCAATCCGGGACCCCTCGGGGCATGTCTGACTGCTGGTTTTGGACATCCCTCTCACAATCCTGGACTGCTGGCTCCTAACTGCTCACCTGCCTGCCTGTCTGATCACCCCTAACTCCCCCCCGCCTGCAGGCCTGGTTGACCCCAACTGCCACCCCTGCCAGCCTGGTCGCCCCATGCAGCCTGCTGTTCGGTCGTTTGGTTGACCCTCACTGCCCCGACTGGCGCCCGGGTTGCCCCACGCAGCCTGCTGCTCAGTCATTTGGTCACCCCTCACTAACCCCCCTTCCAGCCTGGTTGCCCCCCACAGCCTGTTCGGTCATCCATTCAGTTGCGATAGACGCTTAGGCTTCTATATAGATAGATAGTCATGGGGTGTGTACCTGCAGACCTGCGAGGATGAGGGTCAGACTTTCTACAGTAATGTGACACCCCAGGCACCCTCCCCAGGCAGCAGCCTAGGCACTGCCAACACTCCTTCCACAAGAAAGCCAATACCAGGCCATCCGTGCCCCTTTTAGGCACACCACTATGTAATTCCTAAGAAAAGCCGTAAAAATTAAATAAGTTAATGCAGGTAAACTATTAAGGAGTGTAATATGGTTATACAGTCAATACTACCACATATGAAACCTTCTGGGGGGAAAAGAAGGTCCTCATTGCCCTCTCTAGGATGCATAGGTTGGGGGTAGGATGGGACAAGAGGAGCGGGGCTAGATTTCAGGGCCTGCCAGGTTACAGGCCTTGGTAGAACAGTGATAGGCACATAATGGCAGCAAAATAAATATCAGTGAGAGCTATGACTGGTGTTACTTCTAGCATGTAAATTAATGATCCTTGGATATACCAATTAAAAGATGGCTATAGTAAGTATGCTTACAAACAAAAGTAAAGCACTAAACTATAAAGTTCCATTTTAGTGTAAAGACTCTTCCTTAGGAAATGACAGCATATTAAATGTAATCAGGCTGGCCCTGGCCGGTGTGGCTCAGTTGGTTGGGCATGGTCCTGTGCACTGAAAGAAAGGTTGCCAGTTCCATTTGGGTTGAGGCACATGCCCAGGTTGCAGGCTCGATCCCCGGTAGGGGGCGTGCAGAAGGCGGCAGGTGGCTCTCTTTCTCTCTCTCTCTCAATCGATTAAAACATTTAAAACGAAAATTTAAATGTAATCAGGCTGAAGACTTCTTTGGTGTCTCCATCCCATGTCCGAGCCTCCTAGTCCAAGCTGAACTAAGCTGGTGCAATGGAAACAGGTGATTTATGCTGCACAGGCCAGGGGGCAGCGGCAAGTGGATCCCGGTAAG